TGTACTCATGTACTCTGGCAAAGAATGCACGACATTCTCAAAAAGACAATCATTGTGGTTATCATCATCATCATCATTGCCTTTCTCACCCTGGGTCAGGATATAGGCCACGAACAAACACTCTCCACCTTTCCCTATCCTGGGCTAGTCGCTTGATGTCACTCCACGTCTTCCCACTTTTCTGTACACATTGTGGTTCTACTGATCACATTTACTGTTATTGGGAGAAGGATCAAACTAATTAGTCAAATTGGATTCAAATAAATGTGTTTTTAGACCAGATTGTAAGCAATCAAAGAGTTCACCTCTCTTAAATGCAGCTCGGAGGGTGGAGGTGGGTTGGGATGGGGAGGGGGGATCATAGACAGAAGGATAAACGTTTCATCTTGTGTTAAATTGACCCCGTTACTTCATCAAACCCCGTCGAGTAGCCGTGACGGAAACTAATTCATTACATCAAACACCCGAGATGATGTCTTAGGTAGAAAACATTAGGATCATGGTCAGGGTTAGGGTTAGGGTTAGGGTTAGGGTTAGGGTTAAGGTTAAGGTTGGAGTAATTAAGAGTATTACTGACAGCGTAGAGGCCAGTGAAAGTTCAATGTCACTTGCGTGAAATGAGAGAAAGATTGGCTGCTTGTTCTAAGATTCATAGACAAAGGCCTACACTCTTCACCCTGTGAAATTGCCCATGTCAGTTTACAAAGCGTGCGTTGAGCTGCCGGAAACTCATTTACTCCACCATACACCCGAGCTGATGTCGCAAACAATAACGGTCGAAGTAATTAGCGGTAGCTGTGACAACGCAAAAGAAAAACGCTACAGTAAATAATCGCTTGAGCTACATCAAGGCCAGTTAGTTCTTCTGATACTTCCAGTGGTAGACGCGTGCTGATTCTGCACATGGAACAGATTGGCCGTAGTCTCAGATAATTTGTTCTGGTTTCATTTTAGTTCTTACTGCGAGATGACATTCAATGATATTTGGCTGCTGGTGATAATTATCTTTTGAATGTCGATGGTCATGATCATACCATGTACGTCAACGGTCTAATTTCACGGCGCAGAGGGGTGGC